TTCTTATTATTAGAAGACGTGTCACCCACGCATCGATATGCTGTTTTACAAAAAAAGACATATATTAGTGACTTACATTAATTTAAAAAAAAATTAATCAAATTGAAATATAAGAAAAATATAAGACTTACCCCCCATCGAAATAGCCATTGTCTTCGACCCCTAATAATACGGCCCACCAAGACCAATCAAGCAACAAATAGATATCATCGGTGAGCTTGCATATGTCAGTGAAACACCCCTGGCTCCGCTCATGTAGATAAAAATCAACTGCGGTCTTAGCCCAAAGGGTGTTATCCAGAATTGTGTCCGGTAGTTGTTTCCTCTCCTCTTCAGATACCGGTATGGTACTGGCCGGTAACTCATACGAGAGCCAACTTGAATCCATCATGTCCGGCACGTCAGAGGGTTTCTCAAGAAGCCTACATATGACGCCATGTGAATCGGGCTCTTGAATGGTGGGAGGGACCTCTTCAATGATGACAGTGGCCTCTTGAACGGTGGGAGGGGACTCTCGAGGAATGATAGGGGGGCCTCTTCAACGATAGGAGTGGACTCTTGAGGGATGACAGGCGAGTCGGGCTTCTTCTTGCGGTGTCTTCACACTATTGGGGTGTACGGAGACTTAATAGCACGTGCACGCTGTCTGATGCGTGAACTCCGTCGTGCAAGCATAACCCGACGTAAAGCATCCACTCTATCGGGCCGCTAAATAATTAAATACAAAAATCAGTAAATAAACAGACATGATATTTAAACAGTGAAAACAAAGACAAATATGTTTCAAACTTGCATTGTATTCACCCAAGTCATTATTCTATCATAGTTCACAAAATGCATCAGATAACAAAGAAAAATATGTTTCAAACTAATACCCTGAAGTTAGTATTTGTCTTTGTTTTGTCTATTGGTTGAAGTAATGCAATCCATTCAAGTTTCAATTTGCAGAAGAAGAAATAGTTTACTTTCGCAACACGAAACTTAAAATCGCAACGCGAAATGAGAATCGCAACGAGAAACCAAAATCGCAACGCGAAACCAAAATCGCAACGCGAAATGAAAATCGCAACGACAGAATCGCAATGCGAAATGAAAATCACAACGAGAGAATCGCAACGCGAAATGAAAATCGCAATGCGATTTTGGTTTCGCGTTGCGATTTTGTCGTTGCGATTTTGGTTTCGCGTTGCGATTCTGTCGTTGCGATTTTCATTTCGCGTTGCGATTCTCTCGTTGCGATTTTAAGTTTCGTGTTGCGAAAGTAAACTATTTCTTCTTCTGCAAATTGAAACTTGAATGGATTGCATTACTTCAACCAATAGACAAAACAAAGACAAATACTGACTTCAGGGTATTAGTTTAGCAGAATTGGCAGCAACCGAACAAATTTACTTTCAACCAAAAGACAAAACAAAGACAAATACTATTTCACAGTGTTAAAGAATACACAGTTTAGCAGAATTGGCAGCAACCGAACAAATTTACTTTCAACCAAAAGACAAAACAAAGACAAATACTATTTCACAGTGTTAAAGAATACACAGTTTAGCAGAATTGGCAGCAACCGAACAAATTTACTTTCAACCAAAAGACAAAACAAAGACAAATACTATTTCACAGTGTTAAAGAATACACAGTTTAGCAGAATTGGCAGCAACCGAATAAATTTACTAAGCAATCTAAGTGAAATGGCTAATCTAAGTGAAATTACGAGTAAATTTATCATTAAGTATGAACCTCATTCTGCAACTATACTATCATCTCACGTAGAGCGGCAACCTCACCACGTAATGTTGACACCTCCACACGCCATGCACCATCGTTATCGCGTAGAGTACCGATCTCCTCACGCAAGGCATTGACCTCATCACGTAACTCATCCCGTGGAGGTGGAGAACAAGGAGATAAATGTCGTGGCCTCTTTACCGGTCGCCTATCATGAGGTGATGGTGGAGAAGAGGCTCGATGTTGTGACGGGATAGGTGATGGCTCTCGTTCTAGAGGTGTATAGTCGGGTCGATCGGGTGATGGCTCTGGGTGAGGTGATGGCTCTCGAATTGGAGGAAGTGGATGCTGCTCATCATCCGTGCCATCAAAAAAACTCTGACTAGCTTGCCACCAATCAGTGGCAAGCTCTTCCTCCGTGGGTGTCAGTCTTTGTAATGGAATGTTGGCCTCCTAACAATATAAAAACTCAAACAAAGTTAAACGTCTACTATTAATAACTTGTTTATATATTATATTAAAGTATTTGTGTTAACTTACATTATTTATTGTCGCATATGGTATTAAGTCTTCCCAATCCAACAGATTTTTCCTCTTCCAGGAAATAGCCCTGGGAATATCATTTGACGTTTTTATTGCATATGTACGCATGCTGGGGAAAGCCTCGAATATCCAAATCTACAAACAATATAATAACAAAATTAGTAATTGTTAATTAATTAATTATAATTTTAGAAACATTATATAGAAATTCTTACCTTAAAGGCCCAAACAAAGCCTGACAAAGTGTATTTCGACCCATCGCCACGCAAACTTTTGCGGTCATCAAAGGCAGTAGACAACTTAGTCCAGCTAGCTTTCCATATATACGAACCCTACGGAAACAGATTCCATGCATTCAGGTCCTCTACCAATATTATTAGCTCCCGAGGAATAGGTTGTCTGGCCTCTCTGCCTAAAAAGCCGGCATACACAAGTAGTAGAAGGCATACTCGGACAACATCGACGTCATCCATCCGAGTGAAACCAGCTTTCTTATTAAACAATTTCTTCAGGTCGTCGACGTGTAGGTTCGGCTTCTCCATTGACTCATCCGGAAAAACCCGGGATAACCATGATGGGCGGGCGATATGACGAGTGTACCGGCCTACATCATCGTGTCCGAATCGTAGACCAGTGATTAAGCAGAACTCCTTCCACCCAAAACAAGTATACGCTGGTGGAAAATGAAACCATATCTCTTCCTCACCACGTTGTATACTGTCAGGTAGATTTGATGTCATGGTCTGAAGCCACAAATGGGTCAAATTAGCATCTCCACCCGGATGCTGTACTCTCAGCCATGGCCCGAAGCAGGTTTCCTCAAACAATTGTCTTTGTGAAGGTGAAAGCTTCGAAGCAATTGTAGTGGCTAGGCTAACTTTATTCCTTAATGTCAATGAAGCCGAATTTTTTTTTTACAAAAACAATAAACATACCAAGTTAGATATACCAAAAACTACACTGTGAAGATATACCAAAAACAATAAACATAAAAAGTAGTAGTTTATTCTTGAAACTAAAATTTACAACACTGTTTTGTCTTTTGGTTGAAATGAAAATCGCAACGAGAGAATGACTGTCGCAACGAGAGAAATGAAAATCGCAACGAGAGAATCGCAACGCGAAATGAAAATCGCAACGAGAGAATCGCAACGCGAAATGAAAATCGCAATGCGATTTTGGTTTCGCGTTGCGATTCTCTCGTTGCGATTTTCATTTCGCGTTGCGATTCTCTCGTTGCGATTTTCATTTTTCTCGTTGCAGATAGTCATTTTCACGTTGCGATTTTCATTTATCTCGTTGCGACTCTTCTGCAAATTGAAACTTGAATGGATTGCATTACTTCAACCAAAAGACAGAACAAAGACAAAGACAAATACTAACTTGAAAATCGCAACGAGAGAATAGCAACGCGAAATGAAAATCGCAACGAGAGAATTGTAACGCGAAATGAAATCTAAGTGAAATGGTTAATCTATTATTGAAATGACCAGTAAACTTATCATCAGTTTCAATATGAAAAACCTACAATAATGCAAAAATTTCAAAATAAAAATAATTAAAAAAATTAACCCTCGGAGGTTGATTTTCCATTTCTGAATATTGTGAGGGATTTCTGACCGTGAATGGTTGTGAGGGATTTCGCCGGAGATGGGGACGGAAATCTTCGGAGATGGGGACGGATTTCGCCGTAGAGAGTGAGAGATGGAGATGGGACTGAGTTGTGATTTTAGGTTTTAGGTTATGAGTTGCAATTACGGGATTTTGTCTTAATATTCGTTTTTGTAATTTGAAAATAAAATACGCGTAGCGATTATAATGGCGCTTTAAAAATCGCGTTGCGATTTACGGATACGCGTTGCGATTTTACGTATTGTCGTTGCGATTTACGGATACGCGTTGCGATATACGGATACGCATTGCGATTTACGGATACGCGTTGCGATTTACGGATACACGTTGCGATTTACGGATACGCGTTGCGATTTATGTGTTCGCGTTGCGATTTTCATATTCGCGTTGCGATTCTGGAAAATCGCAATGCGAATTTGTACTATCGCATTGCGATTGTCAAGAATCGCGTTGCGATTTTGGAAACTGATTTGCGATTCTGGGGATCGCGTTGCGATTTTTTATTTCGCGTTGCGATTTTGTTGGTCATTTTGGCAAATCCAAAAAAAGTTGGTTAAAATCGTATATTATAAGGTATTTTTGGTCACTGAGGCGATTTTCTCTAAAAATAATCTAAATAATATTTATAGGGATGGGCATGGGTCGGATTTTTGGTCCACCCGACCCGACCCGAGATCCGACCCAACCAACATGAAACAAGATTTCACCCGACTCGAACTCAACCCGATATATAACTTAAAAACCCAATCCGAAATAATAATAAAAATATTATTTTTATTCAATAAAAACAATCACTTAATTGAAAAAAATAATATATAGAGGGATATTATTGTAAATATTTCTAAATATATAAGGTAAAATTATATTTTTCCTGGTCGGGTCGGGTATTTTTCACCCTAAATCCGAACCCTACCCGACCAGGCCCGGACCTGAATTTTTTATTAAAAAATCCGACCCAATCGGATTGGGTCGGGTTCGTGTCCCATGCCCATCCCTAAATATTTATTCAATGGTGATTTGAATTGGGCTAACAATTATAAATATATTATTTAGCCAACAATTTATAAGAGCAAGTGGTGAAACCTTGGCTTTTGTATTAGAACAGCAAGGAGGAGAGGATGCCCTAGGAGACGAGTTTGGGATTTGGGCTTCCCAATACAAAAATGGCTTACTAGAAGCTTTAGGCGCCATTGCAGGCTTCCAGTGGAAGTCGGCAGATAGGGTTTAACTCCTGATGAATTTTGGCATGTAAATAGGAAGGGATGGTTCGAAAGTGGCTAACAAAGATAAAAAATAGTCATCGGATCGGGTCAATACTCAATACAGTAAAAATCGACGACAAAACAAAAATAATTGTAAATTCAAGGACATGTTAACCTATTTACAATTTATCGAAAGTGGTAAAATTCTTGTAAAAGTCCCATTACCATAACAAAGAGTGTAGTTTGATCCTTGTGCTTTTTCAAAATGAAATTGCATGCTTTACATTGTCTTCTGCACTCTTCATACATATTATTGAACTTGTAATCTCAATTATCCTCGGTTTATCTATTCACCTCTGCATATTTACTGCATATTTACATCAAAGTTCGGAGATGTTCAATGGTGGCACTTATCGGAAAACTTGTTGCAGCTCATTCGGAATTTTGGATGCGACGGTAGCAACGACGTTGGTAGGCAACAAATGCGACTTGGAAACTATCAGGGATGTGAGTGTTGAAGATGGCAAAAGCCTTGCTGAAGCACAAGGGTTGTTCTTCATGTAAACATCATCCTTAGATTCGACAAACGTCGGATGGGATGCAAGTGTGTTCGAAGGTGGGCACGGGTGGGCAAGTGTCTTCCCTAAAATTTTATTTGTGTGAAAATATTTTTGGATTGATCTCTGTCAAGAAGGCTTTCGAGAGAGTTATACAAGAGGTTTACAACAGTGTGAGCAGGAAGGTACTGAATTCAGATGCTTAAAAGGGCGAATTAACCGTAAATAGGCTGACCATTACTAAAACTGAAACTGATGATGGATCGAAGCAAACCCAAACTTTTTCTTGCTGTTCCAGGTGACCTCTTTGAGGTCTTGCCATGGTTTGTCGACTCAATTTGATTGATTTTACTGAATAATATCACATTATATAGTCGAATTATTGTCTTTTGGTTGACTTATGGATACAAAGATATTGCTGCTGAAAGTAAAACAGGCAGCCATCTTCTTTCATATTGTAATACAATTTATTTTGAAGTCAATATTATAGCAGAATTTACATGTTGATTAATGATTGGTATATGCCGTTGATGTGGTATTTTCACATGTATTTAATTGATGTTGTAGCATATACTAAGTCACACGAAGTGACGTGACATATGTCACGTTACTCAAAGTGATGATATAAAATATAATATATTACCTAAAGTAATGATGTGATATATATCATGTCACTCAAAGAGATGACACGTCACATGTCACATCATTAATTAAATACATGTGAAAATATTACATCAATAATATATGTTAATGATTTTCATCTAAAAAGAGATATTTTGACCAAAAATTAAATTGGTAAGGGTTAAAATCGCACAAGAAAAAAAAATAGAGGGCAAAGTACTATTTGTGTAAATGTTGGGAACTCATTTTGTCATTATGTCTCTTTTTAGTAGTTTGAGACAATTACAAGATAATATATGTTCACAATTTTTCTTAGTATATAAATAATGCACACACTTTACAAACACTACTACTTAAATTCGAATCCTCTAAAAAATAGTATATACTAAGTCACCGAAAATAACGTGATATATGTCATGTTACTCAAAGTGATAATGTGACATACAATACATCACTCAAAGTGATGATGCAAAATATGTCATATCATACAAATCGATAACATGTTACATGTCACATTATCAATTAAACACATGTGAAAATATTACATCAACAACATGTTTTAATGATTTTCATCTAATAAGAGATATTTTAATCAAAAATTAAAATATTAAGAGTTAAAATTTCTACAAAAAAAAAAAAAAAATAGGGCAAAGTAATATTTCTATAGATGTTGGGTACCAATTTTATAATTATGGTTTTTTAATAGTTTGATATAATTACAAAGTAATATATTTTTATAATCTTTTTAATATATAAATAACGCACACATTTTATAATCATTGTTGCTTGAATTTAAGTTTTCTAAAGAAAATAACATTTTTTTTTAATTATTAACTATTGAAAATATATTTTAAAAAATAAGAGAAACTTAAACAGTCGAGAAATGATTGAAAATTTGTCCAATAAAACTTTTAAATATCTATTTTAGAATTTTTAACTTTCTATGATGTCAAAATCTTTTCAATATAATTTTTAGGGTAAATTACGTTAGATACTATCAAACTTTAGGTGTTATATCGTTTATACCACTAAACTTTTAATTTTATCAATTATAATACTAAACTTTGATTTTCGTTTTAATTACATCATTGGGTCGTTAAATTGTTAATAGTTGGATCAAAGTGACATCGTTTTTGGTGAGGTGTCTACGCCAACAGTCGCTAGTCACGTCAGCATCCGTCAGCCATGTCATCGTGTCATTATTGATTTAATGGTTCAGTGGTATAATTGATAAAATTGAAAGTTCAGTGGTATAAACGGTATAATGTCTAAAGTTTGGTGATATCTAATGTAGTTTACCCTATTTTTTAATATTTTTAATTCAAAAAATAATTTTTTAAAATCTCAGTTTTGTTTAATTTTTTATAATTTTATTTATTTATTAAAGATTACATAAATTTCAACTTTTTTTAAAAGATGGAATAGTTATCAAACTTTCTAATAATCAATTAGCCTCTCCTACTACATCATTAATCATATGTTAATCATAAAGTTAACACTATGAATTGTTATATTAGTATAGTAATATCTATACCAACTCAGTAACAGTCGATTTCTATCAAATAAACGATAACATTGATATAATTTTAAAGTTTAAACAATATGTAAGACACTATATTTAATAATATATGTGGATTTTTCATTTCCCTTTTTTCCTGATTTAAGTTTCATTCGATATTTTTGTGTCATATTTTTCTTTCTCTTTAATTTTTGTTTAACATACGACAATATTAATCTTAATATTGGCTACTAACCGTCAATGATTATTTTTCTTGTTTTTTCATACTATGTTCTTTGTTTTCCTTTTTTTCTTGAGTTTTTTCAATTTTAAATAAGAATCTATGTCCTTGTCACACACTTTTCTATGCTCTTGTGGGACGTTTCTTGTGGCTTTTGGTACATTTTTTGCATACATTTGCAGTCATTTTAGTGCTCACACAAAAACCCTCGTAACATTTATTTTCTGATTGATTTGTCGGTGATCATATTTTATCAGATCCCTACTTTGGTAAAAGATTGTTTGTTGATATAATTAAAACTGTGTAACGAAACAGTCTGTCAAATTATTTGGTTCTTTTAAAGCGTAGTTAAATATATTTTTAAGGGAATAATATTGATTTTTTTATACAAATACGAATGCTAAAATAACTAAAAAAAAATAAAGAAAACAATTTTTTTGTCACAATAAATTGATTATAAGGAGAAACTAAGATTAGATCATACATAGAGTGACATCTATACGTAGAAACTGTTGAACTCATGGATGAATCTAGGAGAGTAAATGAGAGTTTCGTGTATATTTTAGAATTTTTATTTTTGTTTAAATATATATTTTCGTTCTCTAAATTAATTTATTTCTCTTAAAATTATATAAATTTATCCCTTAACATAAAATTCAACACTTATCTCTAATTATCTCAAGTGAAGGATGCTCCATCTTCGTAAATCTCGCCGAACTTAGTATGCTACTAAACCGATACAACGGAACATTTGTGTTCTGATTTTTTTTGAAATGTCAAATATGTTTATTTTCTGATTTTTTTTTACAGTTCATGATATCTTTATTAAACACATTTTTAAATAAAAATATATATCTTCTAAAGATGTTCATATACATAAAAATAAAACATTTAAATATCTAATTGTGACATGATAATGTTAATTTATGGTCCATCCCCAATTTTCAGGGAGTTTCTCCTATGAGGCGGTTAAAATAAGGTTAAAAAACGGTGTGACTTATTAAATAGGTGACTGGTTAAAAGTGCTACGGAAATGTTATATGTTTTTAACGGAATTGTTATTTGTGTTGGTAATAATAATAGTAATAACCGGGAATGTTATCGTCATATGTAAAAATGCACAAAAAAATATTGACTTTAACATAACCGATTAATTACTGGAAAAATTATCAATCATAATAACATACAGATAGCGCTTATGTAACGTAATAGGTAACTCCTTTTTAAAGCTGACGGGGCATTAGAAATCCAACGATAACAAAATAGGTTAATTACTTGATTTGTTATTCAATATTATCAACATATTAGGTAGCGCCTAAAGTGTTACCGAAGTTTAAGTTGATGGAGCCTTAGAAATCCGACGATAACAAAATAGGTTAATTACTGGAAATATTATCAACCATAATAACATAACAAGTAGCGCTTATTTAATGTAATATGTTGCTCCTGTTTAAAGCTGATGGGGCCTTAGAAATCTGACGTAACAAAATATGTTAATTACTTGATTTGTTATCATTATTATCAACATATTAGGTAGCGCCTAAAATGTTACCTAAGTTTAAGCTGATGGAGCCTTGGAAATCTGACGATAACAAAATAGGTTAATTACTGGATACATTATCAACCATAATAACATAACAAGTAGCGTTTATTTAATGTAATAGGTAGCGCATGTTAAAAGCTGATGGGGCCTTATAAATCTGATGATAACAAAATAGGTTAATTAATTGATTTGTTATCAATATTATCAACATATTACCGTGTAAATTGTTAATTTACCTATTACTTTAAAGTAATAGGTTTCGAAATTATAAGAATCAAAACTTATATGACAGTATCGATACTTGTATTAAGTATTTCCTATTTTCATTATATCAGTAGAAATGTTTACCATGTACATTGTTAATTTTCCTATTACTTTAAAGCAATAGGTTCCGAAATTGCATGTATCAATACTTTATACATGTGTATTGATACTTGATGTTTACGCCTATTATCATTATACCGATAGACTTTTACCATTTTCATTGTAAATTAACCTATTACCTTATAGTAATAGATTTCGAAATTATAAGTATCGATACTTTATATGTGTATCAATACATTTTGCGTGCAAATTGTTTGAGAATCTTACTGGAATAAAAGTATCGATACCTATATAGACAATATCGATACTTGATATTTACGCCTATTATCAATATACCAGTAGCCTTTCACCGTTGACATTATAAATTTACCTATAACTTTATAGTAATAGATTTCGAAATTCCGCGCATCAATGCTTTATACATGTGTATCGATATTTTTTGCGCACAAATTGTTGAGAAGCATACTTGACTAAAAGTATCGATACCTATACAAAAAGTATTATCCTCACTGCATCCAACTTTCTTCTTAATCTTTTTTAAATTCATCATATTTTTCCTCCACATAACTTTTCATATCTTTTATTTCAGCCCTCATTTTTCCCTTTTATCGATTTTTTTTCAACATCTCCCAGCACCCCTTAAATTCACCATCAATTATACCACTTCTTTCACCACTCCATCTATTTTTCCACCCACTTCCCCCTTAAGGCTCTCAATTACCTCTTCGATTCTGGATTGTCTTTGCAAACAATCAAAATGAATTTTTTTAGCTCTGCCAA